CACAGCCGCCCTCACACACAGACACACTCTCTCACACACAGACACACACACCCAGACACAGACACAGACACACAGTCTCTCACACACACACACACACACACACACACACACACAGTCTCAGCGGCTGGCGTTCTGACCCCAGAACAGTTTTAGCCATGTTCACACAGCAGAATGATTCAGAAACCCAGTAACAGTCAAGAGCACAAATCACATCATTACTTCATCATATGTGCACACGCGTCTCATTATATTAGTCGTACCACTGAAGAAAGTATTGCATCACAATATAGAGAACATGAATGCTAAAATATTCAAATGAGGAGGCGGGGAGTGATGATTAGGGGCGTGGCTTGCGTGACTGTGCACTAAACACGTCTCTATGGCTTTACCACCAGTGTGTTTATGAGCGTTTGGTGTTTGATTTAGTTTCATGAGAATTATATTTATGAACATCTGCAGCAGGATAGTGAAGCCTGATGAATGAACTGCCTCTATGAGCTTATGAATATATACCTTCATAAATAGACTAAATGATGTCTTATTTCAGAGTGTTTCATCTGATTGTGTGTGTGTGTGTGTGTGTGTGTGTGTGTGTGTGTGTGTGTGTGTGTGTCAGTGTGTGTGAGAGGGAGTGTGTGTGTGTGTGTGTTTAACCCCTGCGTAGTTCATGTAGTTGCGCTGCCACTTTTCTCAGTTCAGCTTCAATCTCCAGCAGCTCCTGAAGGAGAAACACAGAGTTCAGGATTCACTTCATATCTGCTCATCTACATGTTAATGTGCTCATAAATGATGACAAAAATAAACTCCTTTAACATTTAAAGCAGTGGTTTTCAACCAGGCAGCCACAAGACTAAAAAGTATTTAAGTTAATAAATGATTATTAATTCATGAAATGATTTAAAATGATCTCTATTAATAATAAATTGCATATTTGTATTATTTATCATTTTATTTTACTATTTTATTCATTTTTGAACCCTCAATAACTTGTTTTTAATTGAGGAACATATCATTCGTGAAACGTCTGAAATCACAAAATTAATTTTGGTTAATTAATTTATCAATATAAAATATGTATAGTTTTATGTGCTGCTAATGGAGTCTCTCTGATGAACATCATGCAGCACGTCTGTATCTCTCACCTCATCTTCATCCTCCTCCTCCTCTTCATCATGCTGTCTCTCTTCCTCCTCGTCTCTCTCTCTCTCAAACTGTCGTGTGGCCTCATCGCTGGCGTTCTCCATCTCCCGCTTCTCCTTCTTCTCCTCCTCCTCCTTCACGCGTTCCATCTTCCTCACCAGCTCCTGCAGCTCCTCCTGTTTCTCCTCCTTCTCTTTCTCTTTGTTCCAGCTCTTGGTGTCGTTCTTCTGCTCCTCCAGCAGCTCCTTCAGCTCCTTCTCCACCTTCTCCTTCTCCACCACCAGCTCCAGCTCGCTCTTCCTCTTCTCCTCCTCCTCCTCCTCGTTCCTCCTGCGTTTCTTCTCCTGTTGTTTCCTCTTCAGCTCCTTCAGCAGCTCCTCCAGCTCCTCGTCTTGTCTCCTCTGGACCTCCATCTTCTGGATCTCCTCCTGCAGAAGCTCATCCAGGTCTCGCTCATTCTGCTCCTTCATCGCTCCCTCGTCTTCCTCCTCCTCCTCGTCGTTGAGCACGTAGTCGTCTCGTTCGAGGGTGTCTTCATGCTCTCTGTCTTTCTCTGGAGAAAAACAAATATATACATATGTGACCCTGCAGCACAAAAGCAGTCTTAAGTCGCTGGGGTATATTTGTAGCAATAGCCAACAATACATTGTATGGGTCAAAATTATACATTTCTCTTTTATGCCAAAAATCATTAGGATATTAAGTAAAGATCATGTTCCATGAAGATATTTAGTAAATTTCCTACCATAAATATATCAAAACTGAATTTTTGATTAGTAATATGCATTGCTAAGAACTTCATTTGAACAACTTTAAAGATGATTTTCTCAATATTTAGATTTTCATTCATAACAAACCATGCATCAATGGAAAGCTTATTTATTCAGCTTTCAGATGATGCATCTAAAAAAAATTAACCCTTATGACTGTTTTTGTTCTCCAGGGTCACATATTATTTTATGAACAACAGCCAATCAGAATCCATTTAATGAGCCCAAGCATTTAAAGGGACAGTTCACCCTAAAATGAATTCTGTCATCATTTGCTCTCCCTCATGTTGTTCTAATCCGGTTTGTTGAACACAAAAGAAGACATTTTGAAGAATGTTAGTAACTAAACAGTTGACGGTAGCCATCAACTCTCATAGTATTTTTTTTCCCCATATTATGGAAGTGAATGGCTACCGGCAACGGTTTGGTTACTAACATTCTTCAAAATATCTTCTTTTGGTGATCTGTGAGCGGCAGACTGAACAGAATGGATCTGAATAATGACTCTGTTGTCTTCTATAGAGCTGAAACTGATTTCTGCAGGGTTTGTGGTGTTTGACGGACCGTGCTGGGCCAGCTCCTGTAGCTCTCTCAGCAGACCCTCGTGTCTCTCCTGAGCGTTCAGAACATCATCTGTGAACAAAACCAGCACATAGTCACTCCCTCTCACAGCTTTTGGGTAAAATAAGTGTTGAACACGTCACCATTTGTCTCAGTAAATATATTTCTAAAGGTGCTGTTGACATGAGATTTTCACCAGATGTCGGTAACAACCCAAGTAATCCATACATACAAAGACAACAAAACAAATAAGTTCAGAAATTAAGTTCTGTGTAATAAAGTGGAATGACACAGGGAAAAAGTACTGAACTACTGAAACGTTTTCAACACTTCGTACAAAAGGCTTTGTTGGTAATGACAGCTGTCTGGAGAAACTAGTGGCATGGCTGGCCGTTCTAGCAGCTTTACTTTCTTTCTGTGTTTGGGATCATTGTCCAGCCTTGTTTCATCTTCATCATCCTGGTACTGTAGGTGTTGGGACTGAACCAGTTAATTTTAGACCTGAAATTGGGACTGAACCAGCACCTTTAGAAATATATTTACTGAGAAAAATGTTGACGTGTTCAACACTTATTTTGCCCGCTGTATAGTGAAAGTTAATGGGGTGCAGTGCTGATTGGTCTGGAACATTCTTCAGAATATCTTTAGTGTCTCACAGAAAAAGCTGATTTTTGGATGTCAGAATCTCACCGGTCTTGCGTCGCTCACAGCCAACCGTCAGTCCATCAGCACTGATACTGACGCCATCAGAACCACAGTCAGTGCTCTAGTGTGCGCACACACACACACACACACACACACACACACACACACACACACACACACACACACAGACACACAC